CCTGTGGGGGGCCCAGGAGGTGGGCTCCAGGAAGGCGAGGCCTGGAGGGATCTGCTCAGACTTGAGATTCTCCTTTCTTCTTGAGCCTCCTTGGCACACGAGTCCCTGGGCTACTCTAATTCTGGAATTGCCATTTGATCGGTGCCTGTGGACAGAGGAGATGGACCGTTTTATGGCATTCCCAGCGGTGCTGCCCTGCTGCCCGTAGGTTTCCAGTGGCTCATTGCTCTGAAGCAGACAGCTGATTCCTTCTCCCTAGTCTGCGCTCAGTCTGGCATCCCTGCTGCACCTGTTCAACTTGGCGGACCCTCCTGGTATTGGACATGCCACCGACAGAGCTTCCAGTCTCACAGAAACACACCATCCAGCACACGATGACCAACGGACAGAGCAGGGATGGGCTCAAACATAACGACTCTTGTGAGGAGGATCCAGGATGGGGCAGGGGTTCGTCCTGTGGCACGTGGGACCTCTGGGAGTGGGAATAGATGGCATGGAGCCGCATGACAACAGCCCACGGGGCAGAAGGGTTCTAGTTTGTCCACATGCTCACCAACCCTTGGTGCTGTATCGTTTAATCGTATCATGGCCATCTTGGCGGGTATGAACGTGCAGTGGTAGCGCCGTGGTTAAGCACTGGGCTGCAAGAGGAAAGAGCTCCAGTTTGAACCCAGCAGCTGCTCCCCAGGAGAATGACGTGGCGGTCAGCCTCCAGAGCGGTCGACGGCACTGGACGCCCAGTGGGACAGGTTTGCTCAGCACGTTCTGTTGTCGTTGGTGTGAAGCGATACTTCATTGCGGCTAATGTTAATTTCCCTGACGGCTCACGATGGTGAACTCCTGGATGGCTGTTTGTACAACTCCTTCCAAGCCAACAATCTCTTCAAATCCTTTGCCCTCTGGAAATTGGACGATTTTTCTTTCTTTTTTAAATTTCTAATTGAGTCGTTAGTATTCTCTCTCCTCATCAGACAGCATGGTTGTTTCCCACTCTGTGAGTCATCCTTGCACTTGGTGGTGGCCTTCAGCCTCATGTTGGTTGAGATCCAGTTTCTTTCTTTTCCTTGTATTGAGGGGGATTTCGGTGGCCGATCTAAGAACCCATGGTTATGGCTTCTTAGCTAAATCCACGTATGTCTGCTTCCACGAAGAGCTCTACGTCTAGGGCTTTTCAAAAATCTCGTTGGGCTGATTGAGGGCCCACTTCCCGCCTTTTGCACGAGGCTGCCCAGCTGCCTGGGGAGGCAGGTGAGACTTCCTGCTCCTGTGAAGCGCAAGAGCCTCGGAAACCCTCTGGCTCAGGTACCCCCTGCCCTGCAGGGTTGCTGTGAGCTGGAATCAAGTCGGCAGTAGTGAGTTATGCTACTTAGTTATTCAGTTGCCTCAGCACCTGGTGTGGAAGAGACTATGGATGGCACCCCTGAATTCTCTTGGCACCCGGGTCAGAAATCCCATTGACCATACACATGAGGATTGATTTCTGGATCCTTCGTTCTGTTCCTCGTTGCTGTGGTTATGCGCCACCAAATCTTTTCTGACTCCTGTACCACCCTGTGTACAACAGAATGAAACCCCGCCCGGCCCTATGCAAGCCCGTCATGTTTGATCCCCGTGTCGCAGCCACTTTGTCAGTCCATGGAGGGGATCGGGTGGATTACACGTCGGGCTGCTAATTGCAAGGTCAGCAGCTCAAAACTACCAGCTGCGCTGCAGGAGAGAGAGTCAGTGTTGGAAACCCCAGGAAAGTTCCACGC